TGCCCATCTATACCAAATCTTAAATTATAAGTAATAATGAACAGATTTGTAGCATCTTAATAGTATCTGTATCAGTATCTTAATAGACAACAGATTTCTGTTTGTTAACTATAGTGTAGATTAAGATTTTCACATGCATGCCGAGAAATGAAGTAATGGCTATGTGTGGGTGTCTTGTATTTGTGTTGTGGACAGACATGTACTACGTACATGACATGTACATGTACATCACCGTTATATATGGAAATGTAAAATTAGGTAAATCTATTAATACTATTATTGTTACTGTGTCCAGGCCTGGGGTTAATTACTTTCAATTGTAATCTATTACTATTACTATTACACCTTGACACTTCATATTACTATTACTATTATTATTACCTCTTGTAGTTTTACAACATAACGAAAAATAATTTAAAACAATATGTTGATAGCATTTAATAGAAATTAGTCTTTCAAACACACTGTCAGACAATGAACAGCGATCTGGTTGAAATATTTTACCAGCTATATCAAATAGCCATTCGACTGGGATTATTGGTATTGCTTATTGTGAAAGATAATCTATAGTGTCCTCAATGTTAATTTAACACTATTATACTTAGGCCCTATTACTATTACTATTACTATTACTATTACATGAAAAATTGTAATAATTACTGTTACTATTACATATTACCCCAGGCCTGACTGTGTCACCATTAAGCAATATATATTATTCAAGAACCTTTAGTATTATGGATCACTGTAAGTGCTTGTCATATTTGTGTATTACTGTTACTATTATTATGCCTTATTACTATAATTACTATATTGTCTATTATTCAATGCCCTTTGTAGCATTTATCTGTCATTAACTTGTTAACATTAAGCTCTTTCTTTATGTCTCTAACCCTTCCTATAGTACATACCCAGGGTTTCCCACTAAGCATGCTAAGTGAGCTAAACAGTATTCTTCATGAGTTGAAAAGCACATGTATGTACATGTACAGACATTCGTACATGTATATGGCATTTGGAGCAACTTTAAAAATTTGTAAAAAAACCTAATTCTAATCAGAATCAGCTTAAACTTTCTATTCAAACTAGGAACATCTATATGCATTAGAAAAAATATAAAAGTGATGAATTCTCTTTTAGCCATTTTTTATGAAACTTGGTCGAAGACTGCATGCATATTTGTCCAAATTTTGAGCAAATTAATGAATTCATTAAAAGTCCAATTTTAATTGGATTCAGCTCAAACTTTCTACACAACACAAAAACATGTATTTGTATCAGACAAAAATATTTAAAAGGAAAATTCACCTCTAGCAATTTTTGACATACATGTAATAGTACAGGATGTTTTGTCAAACTGTATAGAGCAGTTTTAAAAGTAGAGAAAGAGACGTGTAGAATAGTAAAGCCATAAAGAGAGTAGAATTTGTATGAGAATAGACTATATTCAGAAAGATTGCTAAAGATAATGTAGGGCATCTTAAGAGGGGAAAGAGAGATCAAATAAGACCATGCATGTAGACAAAGACATTGCGCACTAATGGAAAGAAATGAAATGTTGCCAAAGTGGTATGCACAGGGTTTCCCACAGGTTTATAGTATAGTGTTCACCATTTTAACAGTGCATACACCTTTCTCATTTTTGCTCCTATATGACCCTATCCTACATTCCTTCCTCTCTGCATTCCTTTCTACATCTACACGTGTAATATGTTTACATTTAGCACATGCATATCAAAAAATGTATGCTACACACAGGCCTACATGTATGTCACTGATTCATTAAGTATAGCTTATGAAATAAAGTAATTGCTACTACGCTTATATGCACTGAATAGCATTACAGCTTTACTCTTGATTACAGTAATCATTGCTCTTTAATCTGATTTACCATTACACTTCACTGCTGTGCACTTCCCTCTCTTTGCCATTTTCCTTTCTCTATCTCTTTAGTGTCTCTGTCTCTCTCAAGCTTATGCTTCAGTACTGACGTCATCAAGTATTTCATTGAAGTAAGATCAATTATATATTTCCCATTTTATGTTTCTCTGTATGATTATAGTTCAATTCAAGTTTCAAGCTATGAAGTATCAAGAGCAAAGGACTATTATATGCATGACCAAACATTGTTGCATTGTTGTGTGTTATTTATTTCTTTAAATTGCCAAAAAATATTTTAAATAATTTGCTACTACTATGCAGCGAAAGCATGCAATTGAAGCAGCTTATGAAGCAAAGTCCTTTCACTTGATCCACTTCAGGATGAGAGATTTAGCAATACAGAAGTTGGATAATAAAAAATAATTTTTTTCAAGTATGTTAGCAGTGCAATTCTGACAGTTGTTCGGTATCAGCAGGTAGGTATGCACAATTACTTGTTATGAAAAATATAAGTACTAAATTTGAATGAACAACTACAGAGATAATCAGCTAAACATACTTTCTGCATGCTTAATGAGGGGGTGGGGCTGAAGGTTTTTAGCTGAAAACTCCAAGGTTTTACATCACA